CYWRGGTTTTTTCGACAAATTCAACATGTAAACTACTCTGAATTAGTTGCGGCTCATCAATCATTTGTACTTGCAATTAAGGAACTCACATGTCCTAAACTATAAGACAATAAAGCAACACAATATTTGGTTTAAAACAGTTTATTTGTCTCAATATTGTTTGTATGTGTGTGTGTGTGTGTGTGTGCTACTTGTGTGGTTTTCTGCGAGAACTTTCATTGTTGTAAACCTGAAAAATATAAGGTTAGTATCCCCATCCCCAAACAACAATCAATGATCACAGTAGATAAGAGTTGTAAAGAAGAGAATAAAGGAAGTTACTACCTCCATCCTTCTATACACCTAAAGGTTGGTGGTGGCATGTCGATGTTCCATGACGTCACTACAAGCCAAGAACTTGAATATAAAAGATTCAGTAATTAGAATGAAAAGAGCTCTCAAGTCAATAACAAGTATATACAGAGTATATTATAATAACAGCTTTAATTCTTTTTTACAAATTGTCATTTAATTATAGTTAATATTTATCCCATGATAGTGGCACACACAGAAAGACCATTCCTTGGTTGGAAATAGGCCATTACCTGGGTGTGTAGATAACAGTGGGTGTGTTCCTCCACTTGATTCACATGCTTTTTTCCAACAGAGCCCTGAAATAACATGACACTTGTAACATTACGACCAAAGCTGAACTAACTACAACAAATTATGAATATTTATGAATGCGTGGGCTTAATAAATTTCTTTTTTCTTTTCTATTTCTACTAAAATAAGCTTATATAATAATTCCTTATGTCATATGTTTTTTAAGAAGTTTTCGTTTTGCTTACTTAACACAGACTGTTGATGAAAAGTTTCATGTCGATACAACACGCGTTTGCCGCGCTTTGTCCGCCATGTTGGATTTTCTTGTGGCCACGTCACCTTTGTTTGAAATTCTTTGCCACAAAATAAAGCCAAATTATAATCTCTTTTAACAACCCCGAAGTCTTTTATTTTCTTGCGCCAGTTGAGAGTTGGTATTCCGTAAACTATCACGTTCTGAGACCAAACTTATGTTGTCAYTAGACCGACAAGAAGCGCTTTCAGCTGTTGTGAGCACCATCTTGTTGCTGGTTGTATTCTCCGATGTCAGAAAATCCATAAACGGCGTTTCCATCCTCTCCTCGCAGCTCATTATTCTGATTCGTTTAAGCAGTTCTTCCTCTCTTTTCTCTAAATTAAGATAACGGCTGATCAGTTCTTGTTTTGAAAGCGAGAAAAGTGTTTCAGCGTGGATGTTGTCATACATGTTGTTGAAGTCTTTTTCAAAGTAACCTTGATCGAAATTCTCTTCGACATCCGAGCAATAGTCAAACTCATGTTCATCAACAGGACTTCCTCGCACAGAAGAAGTTGAGTTAGAATATGAGCTACATGGTGAAGACACACTGAAGTCGAAGGGTTCGAGTTGTTCGCGGTCGTCCATGATAAACTGAGTTGTGTTTTCTGGAGCAGCAGGCTGTTTCCTCATTTTCTTGGTAGGTGTCTCATGTCGGTCAGTTATTGCACAGTCTTGTAGTTTTCTTTTCTTCAGTCTTCGTGTCTTTTTTCTCTTCAAAGCTTGAACTGGTAGTCCTTCGGTGTTCATTCTTGATCGTCGTTTTGAGAAGAAACGTTTTGAACACATTGATCTTGGAGTTAGCGTTGAATATGAACGTTTCGATGACACTGAAACGTTTTATGACTCACAAACGTTGTTGAAACGTTTCTTAGTTATTGCTGAGTAATGCAAATCGAGAGCAAAACTGCCMACAGTCACCACGTCGAGAAGCAAACGTAAAATGAACGTTGTTGCACGTTGTGCGTCGTTATAGTTACCCCGCCAAATTTGTGTTGCGTCATATTTATATTTGACCAAATATGGAGGTTTCTTCCGTATTTGGCAAAACAGCTATCATCATATGCCAGTCATAAGCATTTTCTTGCGCGGTTACTCTTACTTCCGGTTTGAAGTTGCTTATTATTATCGATCACTTTTTTTAATTTTTTTTTGTTTTCTTTAAATTTTCTTCAGGTCTCCTTATGTTTCAGGGGTTTCATGTGACGCCACCAAAAATATAAAATCCCTGGATAAAAAAGTTTTGACTCAGATAGATATATTTCAGAAAAAGTTTTTCTTTCTCTCTACTTCTCTCTCTCTCTCTCTTTAGACCTTTGAAGTTGCAGGTTGGTTGGGCGGGCTCACCGGAAGACCAGATACGTCATGTCATGTTACCATGTAACCGTTTGGGCCTGGATATACCATGACTATTGCATACACAATGTAATGGCGGCAGGTCGACTTTCATAACTATGAATTCCTTGTTAAAATGTTTTTCAGTTCTTGTTGGAAGTTCTCTAGCATTTGTGTTAGTAACTTTGGTTTACATATGTCCACAAAGATCCATGTGGTGTGGTATATCGAATATTATGAAGGGTAACAGCGATGTTACCAGCGATGTTCTAACGAACACACTTCCCAGACTTTATCGTTTCAAAAGAGAAGACATCAAAATATACAATTTTGGGCAATCAAAAACAGACGTTATGGTTTTCCTTCACATTCAGAAAACAGGTGGTACAACATTTGGACGGCATTTAGTCACAAATCTCAATATAACATTTGCGTGTAAATGTCGACGTACTCCAAAGCTACGATGTTATTGTAAGAGACCGAGTTCTGACAAAATCTGGCTATTTTCTAGGCATTCATTGGGCTGGCCGTGTGGGTTACACTCCGACTGGACTGAAATGCAATCATGTGTACCAGAATTTATTCGTAAACGAAATGGCAATGTCGAAAATCAGAAGTATTTGTATGTGACTTTTTTGCGTGAGCCAATTAGTAGAGTTTTGAGTGAATTTCGCTGCTATCAGCGAGGAACAACATGGGCTTCTTCACAACATAAATGTAAAGGAAGACAGGCAACAGAAAAAGAATTGCCTCCTTGTTATAAAGGAGAAACTTGGGAAGACGTCACGATCGATTCGTTTATTGGGTGTAAATCAAATTTGGCTTTCAATCGACAGTCAAGAATGTTGGCGGATTTGACACTCGTCAATTGTTACAACGAAACAGGAATGTCGTACAAAAAAAGACAGAAGATAATTCTCAAAAGCGCAATTCGTAATCTTAGAAGTATGGCTTATTTTGGGCTTACTGAATATCAGAAGGAAAGCCAGTATTTATTTGAAAAGACATTTGGAATCAAATTTCGCAAGTCATTCGAACAAAGAGACGAAGAAGAAACTCGAGCAGCTGATGTTAGAACTGACATAGATCAAGAGGATTTGCTTAGAATCAAAAAGCTTACCGCTAATGACATACGACTCCATAGATTTGCAAAGGAATTATTTTTTTATCGTCTTAAATATTTCAAAGATAGAGATCAGCGAGAAGGACTCTCTAGATAACAATCAGTCAACATAACACCAATCAAACTATCATTACAGTCCGTGACTGATGCTCAATAAACAAACAGGTCAATGTTGTACATTATTTACACTGTGTCGAAACCAAAATTAATTTTAATGACTGACTGGTTGTGGAAAATTCATTTGCCATAAGAAACATCTGTGGCTTGTTTGAATTATTTGAATTGAATCCAAAAAACAAACATACGCAATGAAGGATGAACTTCAGGCACAACAATAGAAACAAGTATTAAAATTACTATAAAGCTAACGTTATTAAACAAATTAACATAATTCATATTATTACAAGTGCTAGCTTGATATGTATCATTTTATGAACAACCTCCAACATAATCAAGAAAAAGATTCTTCATAGTTTTCATATTGAAGAAAAACATATATTTGAAATGATAATTTGTAATATTTTATTATTGAATAATATAAATAAATTGACAGTTGTCAACTATAATAAACATCCCTGTGTCCATGTGATTTTTCACCTTGTCCAAAAGGGTTTTCATTGCGATGTCCTCCTCTACCTCCACCCCATTTCCCATGACCACCACGCCCACCACGATCATCACCACCCCAGCCTACAAGAACCAAACATGCTAAGTTTAATACATGGTTAAATGCCTAATATAAAGTATAGCTCATTAAAATTATATTTCCTTTTATATTTGAATGAATTTTATGTTATCTAGAAGGATATAATGCTTGAATTTTTTAAATTTTTCATATATATTATTATCTAATTTTTGCATGTATTAAAGGGACACTGTCAATGGATGACATGCGCAGTAACAGTCTCACCTCTAACGGACTTTGAAAGTATAACCTTCGAGGTAAATCATTTTGTGGTGCTTTTGACACACTTTGGAATATTCTAGATCTGTTTACRTTTACGATCTGATTTATGTCGCGCCAACTTGGAGTCATAAACTTGAAAACACTAGCCTAGTGTTTTCAAGTTTACTCGCACATGTCATCCATTGACAGTGTCCCTTTAAGTGACTGAGCATTAATACCTCCTTGGACCTTTCCACCTCGCCCACCCCTTCCACCACCCCTTCCACGACCTCCTGGGCCACCTCTACTGCTGTGTGGTCTCTGGTTCTTGGGTGCCTCTTCTCTCTTCCTAAATGAAGGCATTTCTGGTGGTGGAGGGTTCATAGTTGAAGGTCTACCACCACGGTCTGGAACCTATATATAAAGTAATAAGAATCTGTAGATAGGTGACTTTAAGAAGTCATGCTACTTCCAAACTCCAACATTACATGCTTTAATATAAAAGTTGTAGTGCTCACAGTTCACAGGGCAAGAAAAAATTGGAGGATGTGGATTAAACTCTCCAAGAAAGGTAGAGAATTTACAAACGTATGCAGGCAAATTGGAGCCACTGACCTTTCCCATAAGTACTCTGTTAATCGCACATTTAGTTTTCTCTCTTTCTGCACCAGAGCTTGTTCTTGGTTGTCTTAACAGATCTGTYAAACAAACATAATGCATTTCAAACCTTTTGTTAAACCAAACCATAGCTTTTAATAAAGCCTTTCGTTTACCTGTTCGTGAAGCAATAACATCAGCAACAGTTACTGAAGCACTTGAACTCATGGCTCTCCTTAATGGCTGAAATACTGTTGTCATTTCATCTTTCTTTGCCTGTTTTAACAACAATAGCCATTATCAAACTTATTAGTAAAATGCAAAGTAGAAAGGCAAAGAAATTATGAAATTCTCATAACCTTACTTTAGCTTGATCTGACCAGCCAAAGGACTGAATGGTGACATCAAGTCTTTTAAGCAACATCTGTCTCCTTAGTGAATACTCACTATTAAGTTGATTGTTAATTTGTTCAACTTTATTCTAAAAAACATCAATGATATCATATCACTTTGATAGGAAATAAAATAAAATGCTACTGGTATAAATCTTGTTGCTACGAACCCATTGACTTTCTCCAAGTCTTTTCTGTAAGAGTGGATTTCCAAGGAAATCCTTTGGCAATTTACCAAGCAATTGACGAATCTACAAAATGTAGCAGTACTATTAAGCAAATCATTTATTGTATGGTTAACTGTCTATTTCTATCATTTTTTCTTACAGTGTGTTCCATTTGTGAAAAGATAGTGAAGACACTTGTATCTTTTGTTGGTAATGGCACTTGTAAAGCCAGTAGAATAGAGTTGACATGCTCTAATGTTGGGCTGATAGCCTGATAAAGACAAATAAAAAAATACGAGTCAATGATAAATAGAATGTTCATTTTGGAAGGATTATTAATTGAGACAGATTTTTGTTCTACAAGATTATATTTTCTAGTGAACAAAAGGTCAGTGGGTTGAGCCCTTCCCCTTTTGTGGTAACAACTACTGTTTACAATCTTATATACTTACAAAGCACAAGGTTTTTTAATACAAATAATAATACAAATACATAAAATGAATACAAAAATAAATAATACCTCTACAAATATTTTTTTAACTGAAAGCACAAGTAAATTATGAGTGAGCAATAGAGTTGGTCAGTCACTCACTCAGAATTTGTCAATGAGTATACCTGCTGGTCAATTTCCATTTTGTCATCTTTAACACCGTCAAGCATCCTACATGCCTGTAGTTCAGAGGTCAAATAATCTGTTGAATAATGAGAATCACTAATGTATGAATTACTAATAAGCTACCAAAGCCAATAAACTTTCACAAGATAATATTCATGAAAATATGCAAGTTTTACCATTGGAAAACATTCATTACTTACCCAGTAATAGAAGACGGTTAGGGACATTATTTAGACTGTCAGTTCCTGACAATACTGGATGTGGGTTGCCTGTGGTACAACAGAAACCTCAGTATTCACTCTAATACTATCAAATATTATTATACATAATCAATGCATTCATTAAATTAAAAAACATCTCACCTAATTCATTCAGTATTCCACTCATTTCTAATTTAAATGTCTCAGCATCTTCTACTTCTATTTAGATAAAAAGAAAAATATCATTATGAAAGTGTCCAATAGAAATGAAAATAGCAAACAAAAAAGTGAAAAATGCAAAACCTGTTAAACTTTCACCAAGAGGGCAGACTTTTTTAAGCTCTGTAAGTAGCCAAACACAAAGTGACATGAAGTCAAATGTCAGCAGCTCTCCTTCTATTGCTCTGGTAAATGCTCCTTCTTCCTTCACAAATGGAATGTTGCACCTAAACAATAGATATATTTTTCCTTTTTTCATTTGATTTTCATAAAACTTGACCATAAAACTTGTATTGTATAAATTCTAGATGAAATGACTTAAAAAATTTCAACTATACAATATTTTCTGAAAACAGTATTACCCTAAATCTTCTAAAGCATCAAGAATATCGTTTTCCATCTTTTAGGCGTTGGAACTTCAAACAAATTTGTACATGTAGATATGATTTCACGTCCCAGTCCTTTAAGGAAAGGATCACGCATGTGTTTACTGGTACTACCGCTGAAAAATATCGCTGGCGCTTAAAGTGGTTCATGACTTAGCAAGATGTCTTCCCTGAAAGAAGTCGTTTCGATGTACCAAACTCTCATAAAAGACTGGAATAAAAAGCCTGTTGATCTAGAGAAATGTGGCAAACTTTTGTCTGGGATGAAGGTATATTATTTTGCTTCATRGATTTGAATTTACCTTAAAGTAAGGAAAGATTTTGTGTGGTAAACATATTTTTGACTTGACAAAAAAAATCCCTTTTAGCCGGCTGTGAACTTAGTTCTGCTCCTCTCATTTTTGTTGGGCTTATCTTCCCTAAACTTTAGATAGTGAAGAATGGATGACATGTAGAACTAAATGTATTAGATGTTTAATATGTATCTTAAATCCAAACTTTGTTGTTGTTGTTTTTTTAATGTAGATGGCTCTTATCAAGTTTTCATTCTTGCCATTACCATCAACTACAAATAAACCACCCCAAAGAGAGCTGCTTCTGGCAAGTATGTTGTGAATTGATAGAATGTTAGGACAGCCTGCCAGCAGAGTCTCCCTTTACTCCCTTTACATTTAGTAGAAAGTAAAAGAGAACTTTGGTCACGGGGTGCTCCAGAGTTTTCATAAATAATATTTCCAAGTTTCAAAGCTTGGATTATCAAGTGTCAATAATACAGAACATGTACAGTAGAAATGATACAAAAGACCTCTATCTGAAAGTTGAAACAAAGTTAAAGATCATCCTATAATGATTTCTTAGTAACTATTTAGCTAACAAGAAGTTTATGTTGTTGTTATAAGGAGATATTCTTGAAATTGGAGTGCAGTGGAGTATACTAAAGGAAGATATACCATCATTTGAGAGATATATGGCAATGTTAAAACCATACTACTTAGATTACAGGTGAGTCAAGAAGTATGTAATAGTAATTCAGTAACTAATCACATGATCGATTTACAGACTGATTATATTAAGTGTACAATCAAATTGATATTTGATAAAATGATATGTTCTATTTTTAGGGGAATCATTGAAGATTCTGCTTACATGTATCAACTACTTGGACTTAACTTGCTTTCCTTGCTAGCACAAAACAGACTAGCTGAATTTCATACAGTAAGTTCTATKAACCTCATAATGAAGTACCATAACATTATATAAAGCAGTGTTAATAATGGTGTTATTGTTTGTTTGCAGGAACTAGAACTTTTACCAGCCAAAGAGTTACAATGTAATATCTATATAAGGCATCCAATATCCCTAGAACAGGTATTATTGATACAATTGATTGGTTAATTGATGGACTGATGGATTGATTGACACATGACACATTTTTACTTGCAGTATCTTATGGAAGGAAGTTATAACAAAGTAAGTACTGTTAGAATAGAAGAATATCTTTAAAAAGTAAGTAATCTAAAATATTTTTCCACGCATGTACTCATTGCAGGTTTTTCTTGCAAGAGGGAATGTGCCTGCTGATAATTATCATTTCTTTATGAATATTCTCTTAGGGACCCTAAGGTAATGTTATTCTTTACAAAGGTTTGATTTATTTATTCATTCCAGTGTATAGCTTTGTATTTATTTGTTCACTTAAGCAACTTTATTTTACATAATGTTTTGCTATACTTCAGACAAGAAATTGCTGCCTGCATTGAGAAGTCCTATCAAAGCATAACTTTCTCTGAAGCAACAAGAATGCTGTACTTTGAAGGAGGGAAAAACATGAAAGAATTTGCTGTCAAGGTGAGAATGATACATGTAATTGTTATCTCATTCCTCATTGAACATATATTTAAGCTTATGTTTTCAAGTATCTGACTGTGATACAGTTTACACTAAGAGGTAGTATTGCTTTCACTTTGTTTGCCTTTACATTTTTTAGTTTACATGAAGTGATATTGTTGGTAACATTTTATTTGTTTTATAGCGTGGATGGACATTGACTACAGACAACCTGTATGTATTTGAAGATGACAACAAGAAAGAAACAAGTTTAGAGTTGCCATCTCATAAAATGACTCAACATATGCTAGAGTATGCTAAAGAATTAGAGAGAATTGTTTAAAGTATTGTATAGAATGTTCCCTGCTATGTAATAAGTAGTAAATGAGTTCAAATGAGTTAATGTTTATGTCAATGTTTTAAACTCAAAAGGTAATGTACACAATGTGTGTTTAAAAACTTGTGACTTAAAAATAAATCCAGTTTCTTTGTCCAAACATCTATGTTTTSTTTGCATTATAAATAGAGTGCAAGTCACATAAGCATGAAACAATTCTTAACTATGTAGTGCTAAATAAGATTTAGTTATCATCTAACTAAGAATTGAGAACAATGCTACAAAGGAATTTAAATAATTGGCATTGTGTTTATGCTTTGTTGAATTCTTAGTTAGTTGATAACTAAATCTTATTTAGCAATACATATTAAGAATTGTTTCATGCTTATGTGACGTGCACTCTATAAGAAATTCCCTCATTGCGAGTTATGGAATTTCATGTGTATGATCAAATTAATGACTAGTCCATTGCTTTAGTAAAAAATATATTTATTTGTTATTTCTTTTGACAATAATCTGTTTTTAAGAGAGAGATTTTCATAATTTTGATTTCTTATTTCCCTGGTAGAGATATACATACAGCAACTACACGACCAATGCACCATCCACCTATGACAAAAAAAAACAATGTTAATGTAGTTTTTCTGTTTGTGTCGTATTGCTGGCTATGTTCCTGCTATTACTAATGCTCATTCTAGTGCTATCTATAAAGTGTCATTGTAATATCTTTTGACTTCTCTCATAAATGCATTCATAAATGCATTCAATCATACTGCGTAATAGTTGTAGTTACCCTGTTCATAAGCTTCAATCTTAAATGAATTACTTGCTCCTTTTACATCACCATATATCTCRTAGATATTCTTGAACAGAATCACAATCTCTCTGATGGCATCAATGGCAAAGTTTACACAGTTCTCTGTAAATAGACAAAAATAAAACCAAAATTGAACTCTTTAGGTAACAATGTAAAGACGCAGTTTCAATTTGACTAACCTTCAGTACAAGCTAAAAAGTCTTTAGCAAGTTTCTCCAAAGCCTTTGCAATTGAAGTCTCTTCACAGGCCAAGAATGCCTTGTAAATGTCTATTAATGCCTGACCAACATACTGCATACCACGGTAGATTTCCTTGTTATCAAATGCTTCAAAGGCTTTCTTGAATGCTTCCACTGTCTGCTCTCCATCCTCTGCACATGTCTCAAAACTGATATTATACTTGCCTAAACCTGCAGCAAGTCCTTTGTAAACTTGTACCCACTCCTTGTCAGTAGGACCTGCAGTTACAGTGAAGGGAGTCTGCATTGCATCAAAGTATTTTTTGTTCACCCTTAAAGACAATTAACAAAGAGATTATACAGTTTTAATTGGCTTCTTCCAAGTGGTAATATATGACAACACTGCCCTCGGTCTTTTATGTATGGAACTCGCTGTGCTCCTTCCGTACTGTCAAGACCTCGGGCAGTGTTTTCCTATACAGAACTCCCAGCCAGTAAATAACATTATTTAGTATAAACATACTAATGGTCTATCACTCATACTGCGCTGTGATTGGCTACTCTACTAAATGGTCTAATTTATGATAGACCACTCTCGGGAAAATCAAAATTGCAGCATCTCATTAATAAACTATTTTAAGGATAATTTCAATTTGTTTTCATTATTTGACCGATTAGTATGTTTATACTAAAACAATTAGACCTTGCGGACTCGGCCTCATGGGCTATTAGCTTGTAGTCCACTCGACCTCGAGGTCTAATTGTTAAATATATACATCATAAAGAAGCTATATACATACAGATATCGATATTCATAGTGTCCTTTTGGTAAAAATGATGTAAATGTCAATGAGCCTTTAGCTAGAGCCTTTTCTCCAGGGTTTTGTCCACCTCCAACATAATAAAAGTCTACATATTTGGAATTGTCAGAATCAACAGGATAAACACCTAAAATAAAACAAAAATGGCTAAGTTTCTTGTTTGATTCCATGATGAATATATGGTGGCCAAGTATACATGTGATAGCCTATCCCAAATTGTGTATGCACATACAAAATTCAGAGAAGCAAGTGTTTACCTATCCAATCCATGGCAGTTGCCTCATCTACAGGTACCAACCATGACACTGTGATTGGTTTACCAGACGGTGCTTCAGCTGGTGACAGGATCATTGATCTGTTTTGTTCAATGGTTTCTATTTGATCTTCAAATCCAAGCTGAAGGAAAATAAAATCAAAATATCAGTTCAAATACACTATTTTGAAAGTTTCCAGTTAGTCTTTGTTGCTTATTTATGCTGGTGTTGTAAARTTTTCAATGTTTAATACTGTACTTACAGCATACGCAGCCCACCAGCCTTTATTATCATTAATGACTGCAGGATGACTTGCAATGGGACCAGACTTGGGACGTCCAACGTAATCCCAGGAACTCCAGTCACCRCCTCGATCAAGCTGCCAGAGATGCCACAGCCCTCCATCACTACTGACAGTAAACACCTATAGCAATAATAGCTATTAATAATCTATTAATAATAAGTAGAAATGGATGAATGAAAGGATGGTGAATATAAAGCAATAAGGAAATGTTTTCAAGATTAATGTATTTAATTTTGTGCTTTTTATGTTATGTGGGTTGCAAGCAGTCAGACGCCATATTCCAGCACATGGTTTTATTAATAAGGGCACAGGAAACCCATAATTAAGTACATATAATATAACATTTTATACATCTACAAGCAATTTATAATATATAACAAAACATCAAAATTTAAAGGAATTGAAGTGGTCATCGTTTCATATACCTCAATCCCATGATGGATATTTGCACCAATACTCAATGKATTAGCAGAATCAACTGTCTTTGGAATAGCATCGCCAATTTTATACCACAAGCTCCATGTGCACCAGCCCCATGGATTGGGAACCTTGTCACATGTTGTCTGCCATATATGATGTAGATGACCATCCTCACCAAATACAAACACATTGATTTTGCCATTGAAGAAGTTGMTTGACATGGAGTGYGCAACTGGGGCATGAACTGATGTTGGTGCACTGTATCCAGTCTTGTCCCATGAYACCCATTTACTTGGACCTGAATGATATATTGTTTTATTCTCAGACCTTTTGCAGGCATAGATAACRTTTAWTCAATTATAATTTTTGAAAAATTMAACAAATTTTGACATKAATATCACATACTTGTTTGCCAMGTTCTGTACAAATGCTTATCCTCCATTACTGCAAATGCCTCCAAATACTAAGTGAAAAAGAGCAARAATGGAATGAGAATGAATAGAAGTCCATTGATTGTATTTCAATTACATACTTTAGAGAATTCATTAAAAACAACAGACACATCAGTTMTAAGACTGACAGATGATCCACCAATCAAAGACCAATTGGACCACTTGCCACCAATCTCTTGKGTCCAGTACAGCCTTGAAGATTTTGCAAGGGTTCTGGCAAATACWGACACTTTGCCCTGGTATATTAGAGACTTSACATTGTCTTTGCCAATGAGKGAAACAGCTTTGGAAAAAGACAGAAAACAATATCTTTATCATCCCAYTAAATAAACTTAAAATTTATTACATCTATTTTTCCATTTCCTGTTCATTCATTCATTTGTTCATTCATGTTGGTTCATTCACTTTCTGGGTTGTTCATTTCCATTTCTCTGTTCATTTTTTCAATTTCCTTCTGTCCATTTCAGTTCTCTACCTAATTGGTCTTTTGGTAATGTAGATGGTATTTTTGTCCATTGTCCAAACACGGTTGGCTTCTGTTTATTTTGCTGCACGTAATACACTTGGCCATCACCACAAAGRCAGAATACAATAGTTACATTGCTGGAATCGTGTATAGCTGCTGGGTTTGAAATAATTTCCTGGCCATCAGGAGAACCAATAACAGACCTACCAAACGAACGAAGTTATACACAAAACATCGCAACAATACACTTGCAAAGCATGGCCATAATTTACAAACAGGAAGAACCGTTCTTTTTTCTTACCAGTCCGACCAATCGTTCTTTTCCGAATACTTGAACCTTAATTTCCCGTCCTTGGCATGAAAAACTAATGTAGAGCTGTCGTGAATTTTGTTGTCAATAACAGCCAACCGATCTTCGACGGCTGATTCTAAGTGTGATTTAGGCCAMARGCGGAATKGAGAAGCCTCAGYCGATGCAAAGACAATACATAGGGAAATTACGAACGCTAAATACCAAGTCATTTTTGGAAGATATGACTAAATCTCTTGTGCAAGCAGTTGCAATTTAGCCGCAAGTAAAGATTTCGAAAGAACGATTTTCTGCCAGGCATTGCATGCTGAAGTCACGAGGAAAACATGTGATGTCATAGCGAGATTTGGCCCCAAAATTTGTATTTTAAGTAGATTCGGTAGAAAATTCAGCAGTTTAATAACAGAGTAATAGATACTAGGAGTGAAAATACTACTGTAAATGTTTGTATGTAATCTCCTTTGCAGCCGGTTATCAGGTTATCAACAACAGCTTTTGTCTCGAGAAGAAACACCAGCAACGCATGCGTAGAAACCCGGCAAGGTAAAACAAGTAGCACGAAAAAGAAATTAGTTTAGTATAAAGCGTGTTGTAACAGTAAATCTTCATCCAGGTGTAAGTATAATTGACAGAAACTTTCTTCATGTTTCTTCTTTAAGAACAATAGACTAATTTTTGATTTATCAACTCCATTTTCTTTTAAGCTGATAGTATTCATTCGCTTTTAGTCAACTATATTTTATAGTTTATTCAAATGAAATCAAAGTTATTTTTCTTTCGGAGTGAATTTATTTCAAAATAGCAGCCTTGGTGTTTTATAGGAAAATACAACATGAAAAATGTGGCGAATTCTCAGTCCTACATCAACACGAAGACCTCAATTGAAAGTGCGGTAYGTCAATCCGCCAAGACGCCATGGTAAACTATGTCCACCAAGACTGGTTGCCATTTACCTGTTGATCATTATCTTGTTCTATGTTTATATCCGTTACCATGGTTGCCTGAACTGGTCTAACAAGGAAAATCACGTGACATTTATAAAAGATGAGAAAAACACCAAAAGTTTCAGGGGTGTGCATTTGGCAGATTTGGGCTTTGATAAATTGAGTGAAGCTAATCATGAACATGCACTTAGCAAGGAAATAATAAATCTTGATGATAAGTTGGTGCAGAAAACTGTACAGGCAAATTTCAGTCATGAAAGAAAATCGGCTCAAATGCCACGTTATGAAACTACAGTTGGCGCATACCAAGACAGTTCAAAAGACGACAAAAAAGATTATGTAACAAACAATCTGAAAAGTGAAAATGAATTCCGCACTTTCAGAAGTCAATGGATGCGTTATGTTCAAATAGACTTTGATTGGAGGAAAAAGATGCAATCTTGTAAGTCCGACATGGCTTGGGTGTCCAATAGGACAGCACACCAACAAACAAGCATTTTAAAAAGTACTTTTTCTCCGGAAATAAGACCAGCTAGGGAGTTCAGCTCAATTTACATTCACACGAAAACTACKCATGGTCAAAGTAAAACCGCTGGAGGCGATGCTTGGAGAGTTTACGTTAGAGGGCAGTCCTCTCTAGTTGCTAAGGTTATCGACCATAGCAACGGTTCATATGAGGCTCTCTTCTTCGTTCAGGAGCCTGGGAACTATACAGTGCAAATAATACTGGACTTCAGTCAATGCAATGGSCTACGTGATCCGCCTAGTGATTGGTTTATTCAAGGTATATTACGTYATTATGCTGTTGAGAGAATAGTYTAATGAGTTGCATCYTTGTAGCGACTACCCTCCTTTCCAGCCAACACMCATTCTCTTGTGAGKATAATCTTTGCGCAACTATTTTTTTAATACAGGAAACGCACAAGGAAAGTACCAACAAGAAAACTTACTCGGTCCACTGAACGACTTCTTGCTTCARAGTGTCAAGCCTTTCTTGATCAATGTACCTGAGGCGCGTTTTGACTTTCTAAAAGGTAAAGGAACTCTCTTGAGTGATAAATGCTTAATATTACATAGTTGTAAGTAAAAAAATTGTCCATGCACTGTACGAAATACACCTCCAATCGCACCCTTGCTTGATCCTGATCTTTTTTTCTAATAAAATTATTAGATATATATGGATCAAAGTGCAAACACAGTACTTGTAGTTCTCTATGGAATCCATATGGTCGCTGGATCGACGGTCTTACTTGGATACCTTACCTTAGTGACGGTAAGAAAACGCATAACGTAAATCCATTCGACGACTCAAATTCGAGGACATATTAGTAAATTTTGATTGAAATGCATCATTTTGATAACTATAGGACCTGTGTATCACTGGCAGACGGTTGGCCAAAGCATTGCTCCGTCGGGTACCCTGTGGGTTTACGGTGACTCTGTGGCTAAAAACCTAGTTCTTTCAGCAAGAAAACGCGCGCTGTGCAACCAGCTTTATGCAAAATGCGAGTTTAGCTACAACTGGATCTACCCAGTCCTTCACGGTGAACAAAGAGCAATTGTTCTCAACAACGATTTGGACTTTGAGGAAAATCGTGTACTTGAAACAATAAAACAGATTTTCACACAACCAGACATGATGCATAATCCTAACAGCACCATACTTCTCAACCTTGGTCTTCACTTCGTGATGACTCTGAACTTTACCACGTATCAAAGACTGATAGATCACGTGATTGATATWTTTCGAAGTCCTGGYWACCAGTTCAAGGCGAATGTAATATGGAARACAACGACTGCTATTCACAAAGAAAATGCAAAGCAAACAAATTCGACGCATTTCAGGTTCTTGACCACTCAGGTAAGTCAATACTGCACTCGTGTCATTAAGACCTTTTGTGAAAAGCAACATGACCAGCCATGACATTGGAACAGGTGCACAAAATAGCAGCAACAATCTATGGCTGAAACAGGTACAACAACAACTGATGGCAAATAATTGCAATAGCACTACAATGTCTACCATTACTTCAGGAAGTTAGAAACTGCAGCTATAATGGAAACACTTAGGACCGTTACAAACTAACATGGCAGTTTTTATTCCAGAGAATAGAATTGTTCAATGCTTATTCTACGTGGGTCATGTGTCGAGCTGGGATCCCTGTGGTGGATGTCTATCCAATCACTTTGTCGTACCCAAACGGACCAATCGACGTCGTCCATTATTATGGATTCGTGACGTATGCATTGGAGCAAAGACTAGAAGAGTACAGAATGAATTTGCAGAGAAGAGAACACTTAACTAAGATTTGCTACGTATAAAAGCTGTGTATAAAGCTGCGGCATAATGAGGACCGGCCTAAATTAAAATGTCAAACTAAATTAGCTCAATACACAGGTATAGTGTATAAGAACTGGCTGCTAGAATGAGCAGTTCATAACAAAACACTATCTCAAAAACAGCTCGTAACAAAAGAATTTTAAAATAGAACAATAAAAAAAGAGAAACACCGGACCTTTTAAGCTTGTGGGGAGTGGGGAGGGGGGGTATATATTTTGTATACTTGAATTTTTTCATCAGCCATACTGTCGCATAAAATTCAACAAAGTCTGCTGGTTTTCCTTTGCAATAGCAAGGTGTTTGCGCTGAGCTAAAACTACCTTGAGAGTATGTATTCAGGGTCGGTAGGTTTATCGATATTTGAAGCTTACAGTGTAATAACAGCTGCCAATACAGGATGTTAGGAAAATTCTAGAACATGTTAAGAGTGGATTATTGTGCAGCAGTCATAAACGCTGAATACCCTGTAATTACTGAAAAAAATGATTGCTCGCTTACCATCTGTTAAATAAAAAAGCGATCAATGTATAAATGATGCAATGGATAGACGCTTTATTAAAAGAATAGATATCCTGACGCCAATCGATCAGATGGCCGACTATAAAAACGTAATCTTTTAAGTGATATTTAAAAAACGAGGAGTGTTTTATCGTGAGATATAAACACGAGGCCGAAGGCCGAGTGTTTATATCCACGATAAAACACGAAYTACGAGTTTTTTAAATGACTTCTAAAACCCAAACCTAAGAAACTACAATAAACATGAAATAAATAAAAAAATATCAAAAATGAATAATTGATGAAGATATCTCCATCTGAGCAAGAGCAGTAATCAACTTGGTTTCCCACATCCAAGCGCCACTATGTTTTTGTGTACTGTGACTCTGCAAATAAGTAATTTTAACTCGAGACCTAGTGAAGTTCTATGATGAGAGTCTAAAACTGAGAACTTTTCTAGTGTTGGGCATACGTCGAGTGTCTGTAAATCAGTTACAACACTGATGTTTTATGCATGAGTGTTATAACTAACTGAACCTGTTTAATTAATCAGTGTTTATAACTTGAGTTATAGATCCTGTCATGTGACCCATAGTTGAATGCTCATTGGACGAATGTCTAATGAATAATTCATGAGTTTTAGAACATCGTACATAACAATATCAAAAGATATTAATTTGTAAATATTATAGATTTCTTATTATTGTAAGGCGGACATCATTATGCTCAATGTAATCAAAATCATTATGATTATCAAGAATAATAAAGTTTCTGGTTTGACGAGTTGGGCTTCCTGTGTTCCCTAATATTAGTACAGGGATCCCGGAAAACAATGTATCCGCTGCCCAAAATGAGGCACGTGCTCAGGTTTTAATATGGCGGCCAAGAACGTCAGTGGAGTGCTGAAGACGATTATTAATGCTGGCAAAGCTTCTCCTTCACCTCCACTAGGCCCTGCTTTAGGTCAGGTTAGTAAGGCCCATGATAGTTGACTTTTTTTTGTTTCTGTCCGGAAATAATGTATAAAAACGACATATTTGATTCTGTGTGTGTTTAGAGGGGGATCAACATTCAGCAGTTTTGCAAAGAGTTCAATGATAAAACGAGGCATATCAAAGAAGGTGTCCCTATACCAACAGTTATACATTACAAGGTATGAAGTGTCCGTCGTAAGACCCTCTGCATTCATTAAATTTACATCCCTATGTATATATGAGAAACTAACTGATGCAGACAGGTGGGCTATCACGGCTATCTACAAATAACTGATAAGTAAGTTTTATCACTTTATCTAGGGTGACAGATCATTTAAATTTGAGACTTCAACTCCAACTGTGTCATATTTCTTGAAGTCAGCTGCAGGGATTGAGAAAGGAGCTCAAAAACCAGGTAAAACTCCCTGTGAACTTCTTGTATCTTTTCACTCTTGTTCAAATTCCTCAAACAAGATGAAAGTTGTATAATTTTAGAAATAGAGAACTGCTGCATGTGGGTGATGAAGAGCACAAGAAAAGCAARCCTTTCATCACAAGCCCTAGCAGTGTTCCTCTTGCTTCTTGAGTGCTCTCCTACCATGTTTATATGAGAGGAGACAGAGAAAAGCAGCCATTTTATGTTTCTTTTATGACATTTCTCTGCCTTTTTCGAGTGCATGAGTGGTAAATTCTGATATAAACAGAGTTTTGAGCCAATGTGATTGTGTTTTCTATCTCAAAAATAAATGCACAATAAATAAATAAATAAATGCACAATATTTTTTATTATTTGAAGGGAGAGAGATTGCTGGGACTGTAACATTGAAGCAGATCTATGAGATTGCTAAAATCAAGAAGCAGGACAAAGCATTTAGAAATGTTCCTTTAGAAAGTGTTTGTAAGACAATTATGGGGTCTTCCAGAAGTATTGGAATAGAGATTGTATCAGGACAGGATAYATGATGGATAACAATGGAATCATTGTATATATCAGCAGTATTTAAGGAATRACAATGGATTATGAGACCTGGAAGAAATGATAAGAACTACAGTACCCTTATCAAGAAWATGTCACTCCTCTAGACATGTCTCAGAATCATTTATTGTGGACAAGCCATTTAAATACAATGAAAATAYGTTTATAATTAAAACTGAGAAAGCTGAATTTGGTATCATTACTTATACCAAACCTTACTACAAAATCTATTACTGTTGTATTACCAACACACACTGTAAAAGTATGTTAATTTATACAAGCACTTTAATTTTGGTAATTCTTGYCACGTTTATGCTGATTCATGTTTGGATAAGAATAATATTGCATTTGTCATAATCTTCTTCCCATACATGTTTTGCAGGACAGTGACTATAGTTTTGTAGATTGTAAGGGTATCACAGATATACACTTAAAATAACAGTAACTACAACAGGATTTATACATTAGACCATTTGTGGTGTCCAAGTGTCAGTAATTACCAGGAGATTTGTAAGATGGTTGGCAATAAAATATACCTTTTATTTCCCACTACTTGTTGATATTACCTTAGAAGAGAGAGTAGTTGGTTTGACATCAAATTCATTGRCATGTTTTCTGCATCTAAAAACATTAATCAGACTACGAAGTATCTTGACAAACTCTCTTCTAAAATTCTTATGTCTCCATGCGTACAGCGCAGGGTTGACGGATGAGTTGCTATAAAGTAAAATGCGGATCCAAAACCTTGCATATCGACTGGTCGTTGTTGATGGGGTTCCAAAGTGGTACAATATCAGTATTATACGAGGATAAACGAGAGCAATGAATGCAGCAATAACRAGTCCAATGGTTTTAGCTGCTTTATGTTCTTGTTTTTGAKATTGTTGAGTTTGGAKTTCTTCTTTCTTTTCTTGTTGGTCTGCTGCTTGTTTAAGTCGAGGATCCATAGCTGTACTGATAGATARACGAATGAGATTGGCTGCGGTCTTTCCACGGCGTTTTCTYGCACCTTTTGCAATCTTAAAGATTTTGCAGTAAGCAACAGCTATGATACACGTAGCAACCAACACGAAAACAACGAAGAAAATCAAGAATGGTTTATCACTAACGCCAGGGAATTTAGGAACACTTGTAATCAACACAGCAAGGGCCCAAATCACAGCAATGATGATTAAAACTTTTCCTGTGGCGTGTTTGAATGATGTAATGTACTTGACTGGTCTTGATAAGGCAATACATCGATCAATGCTCAAAGCACAAAGACAAGAAATTGATGCAATGATATTAACTCGTCCGACAAACCCAGCAACTTCTACCGCTGCTGGTGAAATGTTACCGCTCTGTTTTCTTGCTAGTGATATGTGTTGGGAAGCTCGCATTGGAACGAGGATTACACTAACTAGTAAGTCAGCCACGGCTAACGCCACAATGAAAAAGTTTGTAGCYGAGTGTAGATTCTTGTTTTTGATTACAGCTGCGATAATCAGCGAGTTTCCTATACTTCCCGTGAWACAAAGAATGATTTCGAATGTAGCTGCGAGAGCAACTCCAACTACAGGGATTGGATTTGTAAGAGGACTGTGGGTTGTTGTGGTATTCATAGCGTAATCTGTGTTACTTCTYGTCTTGACGTTGTTGAATGACTTTTGGATCTGTAACAAGATGCGTGTGATGACCTAATGACGGTAATGAAATAGGATTGGCAGCACCCTTCCGGGGAATATATATATATWTTTTCCGTGTAGTATGAAAGCGTACGTCATGGTTCACAGATGAAGCATGACTTACACATATGCCATCCTATATATTGACATCGCTGTGCGTCTGCACGTTGATAAAACCTAATACACTTTATTTACTAAAACAAAACCTCTTCAATTGTTGCGTCTTGAAAATAGTAAGGTCAACAGGAAGTGATAATACTAACGGGTTTTCCCTGAGAAATTGACCAATCATTGAACGGATTTGAAAACGAAATCGTCGCCCAGAGTTGGTCAGCGGTCAAAGTTTTCGGCTGCTTTCATAAACAACTGAGGGRAAACTCAATTCAATTATCCAACTGTTTTATTAGGTTACATGTTTTGAATATAAAAAAATACTGCTAAATTGATTAGAAAAATATTAGTGAGTAATAATCAGCTAATAGAGACATTGAAAAGGTAGTGATGATATGTCTGACTGGTATAGGTACACATCATATACTGGTACCATATATTTCAGTCATTCTACTCTGGTCATATATATGCTTTTACTTGGATGAGTAACATAAAAAGAGTTCTGGATAAGAATCAGTYTCAATCAGTTTGAGTTCATATTTTAAAAAACGTCCAGTRTTCTTGGTTTCATCTTGAGTGTTCTGTGAGCACCAACTAGAGTTYGTAAGGTTTACACCATAACACAGCATAGAATAGTAAGTAAAAGCAGATCTCCTGTTGAACTTCCTGTCAAATAATACACTTGGCATTCTTCTTGTGGAACAGCTTGTATCTGATAGTCAGGCTCTGGTTGATGGACAGCCCTGCGATTGGYTTGAGCAAATTCCTGGTATCTGTGAATCCTTTCATCATCTCTTTCAACATTATACCAGATGTTGTAGACACCACTACCAATCAAACCCCCAAAGAAGGCRCCTCCCATTGCTGTCAGGGTACCAATACCAGGACCTCCCATCATACCAGCCATYCCAACAAAACCACCAATACCAGCTCCCAGCTGTGCTCCAGGATTTCCAATCAGGGATAAGTAGATCCACGAGTAGATGATACCAAATGTAAACAAAATGTKCTCAATCACGTCACGAAGAAGATCCACGAGTTCCCTCAATCGTTGTACAATAACTTCGCCATCATTCCTAAGAATTATCAACAATTCTTTCAGAATAACCATAGGTCGATCCAGGGCACTGATTAGGTTGCTCCAATCAGGATTTAACAAAGCATTGACGATGATCAGGAAATTGCGCATATTCAGGCATACTTCTTGGACCATGCCGGATTTCTTACTGAACATTGGCCAGTCGAATGGTATCGATTTGGTGACCAAGGATTGGAAAGCACTTTCCAAGGTGCCGATGAGTGATGTGTAGCCTTCAAGGTCTTCATAGCTGTGTTTTGTAGAGGTATCAATACCTTTGTCACTGCACATTTTAGTGACGTAATCGTCCAGACTTTTCCTGTGACCTGCACATAAATACAGATCTTCTTTCTTGAATTTTCTGGGCTTTCTTTGTTTACAACCCGGGGATCTGCACCATATTTCTGTACGAGAAAAGAAGTTGGGGTCGAACTGGTTTAACTTCACATCTTTGCTAGTGATTGTCTGTWCTGCAGAGCGAAGCTTGACTTTTCTTGTTTTATGCAGCTCTTTTGGACTGGGGCAAACAGAGGGAAGTTCCTCCAGTGGGACTTCGATAGCTGGTTTTAAACTAAGGCGTCCATCGCCAAAAACTTTGCACAGTTCTTCCTGCCATTCTTGGACAACACGGCCTGACTGAGACCGTTTTTCTCTGTGTGGAGATGAAGGGACGTAGCGAGTTTTAGGACAGGTAGCCATCTTACTCTTACGAAAACAGCTGGTTYTGAGAAGCAGCGACTTGTGAAGTAATGTATTTCAATATTCTTCGAATCGACTTAGGGGAAACCCCATAAGGGTGCATACATGTTATCATTAAATACACGAAACGGAATGGTCCAAGACCGCTTCTCACTATAAAATAAACACTTATTTCTAATGTATGAACAGAAATACTCGTTTTGAAGCTGATTCAAAACATTTTCCATGTGTTTTATTTTCATGTCGTTACGACGGGGAAAACCCAAGAACATACGTATTATCACGTGCTATGACATGCGTGTCATAATCGGAATTCCCCGAACTATAAAATCACAAAAAAATCCCAAAGACCAGATAATGTCCTCTTTAAAACAAAACGTGCTCTATTGGCAAGAAGTAATTTATGAATTTTTCGGTAACACATTAGCGCCACTTCCCAACATCAAGATATTAGAAAATACAACATTCCAGAAAACCATTGACTCAAACTGCGAGGTGGAAAAGAAGAAAATAACATTTATTGTTGATGGAGCGAGAACAGAAACCATTGACTTGCAGATATTCTGTCCAAAAACGAATATATTTGGCCTTAAAAAAAGATGTATGTATCCTTTGTGTACAAAAGCAAAGCACAGCTGGTTGCAACGGTGGTTTTCTTCTAGTGCCCTGGACACAAAGAGAAGATTTTTGTGCGCCGTTCATGAACAAAAAGCCAAAATGCACATACATAATTTACGAGGCCAGGCTAGACAAGATACATTATTACTAAACGGTCAAATTGCAAGTGATCCCAATCAGGCCATGTTTCTATGCAGACTGATGCATAAAGCCTCTTTACAGAAAGATATTGCCMATGGAATTAGATCCATTGAAATCAACACAAGAATGTTACAAGAATTGTTCCWTAATGCACGAAATTATCTCATTATAATAGAGTCATTAATTGACATCGACTGTGAGATGCATGCAGTAATGTTGTCATATATCATGGATTTAATTATGGTTATACTCACATCAATTATGGACAACAAGCCATTTGACCATTTGGTKCACCTTATTAGCAAGATCATTGAAGAATCACTGTTTTTCTTTGGAGTAATGTATTCTTGGGAGTCTACATGCACAGATAATCCATACRGCCAGTTAGGAGCTGGAATAGGAGGGATGACAGGAGTATTGTCAACTATAGCCAGTGGGAATTCTATTGCCGGAGTTGTGACTATGTTAGCATTAGGTGCTATTGGAGGTAMATTGGGGAATGCTTATTACAAAGAAAAAATTGCCAAACAACAGATGCAGGAAATTCTTGGTAGATATCAAGATTTTAGAAGAATTCATAATGTCCCAGTCTTTCCTATGACTAGAGCATGCATATGTGCCATATTTGTAGCTCTAATTACAATCCAAATTGCATATATTGTCATGAAATGACTTAGATACTAGATACAAGGTTTCAATACCGCTTGCCATTAAGCAAACCACWGTATGACAGTTTGTTTTCATTGATAACAGCTGGCTCAAACTATGATATAAGAAGCTGAAATTATACAATTTGTACCTGTGTGATTGAACACAGTAAAACAAAAGCAGAAAAGCAGAAATATAGGAAATAAATGTTGAAAAAATAAAAGTGACATGCACATGCTCAATCTTATGTAAAGTGTGAGCCAGCTTAAGCTGCCCTTTGTGACTTGATCCCACAGTTGATTATATTGAATTATACTAGTATAGTTATTACCTAATTATTATTAGTCAAGTTTACATTTACAACACTAAAATCCTCTGCTATGACAACTTTATCCCTTTTAAATGCTTCCTGTGCTTGGTCAAGGAGTTTTGAAAGTGAGGGTGATTCTGATGGTACTTCTGACATATTCTTGTATCTTTGACTGAAGTGTGTAAGGACAAGCATCTCAGCTTTAATTTCATGTGCAAATTGACCTGCCATCCCTATGAGAAAAAGAATAAATTTGATAATTTACACAGGTACATGTTTATATTGTGAAAGTTAAAAACAATTATCTTGTCAAGTGTCTTGACAATTCACACTTACGAGGTGTTGAATGTCCAAAGTCAATAGCTTTACTTTCCAGTTCATTCTCATGAGTTGCTTCATGCACTAAGCAATTACAGTTCTGTGCTACATTGGCAATCCTAGAGGAATCACAAGTGTCACCAAGTATGACAACTTTACGTCCAAGTCTTGATGGTCCCAGTACCTCATCAGGAGTGATAACACTTCCGTCATCCATTATTATAGGTTCCCCATTCTTTATTCTTGCGTACAATGGCCCTGGGGGGACACCTCTTTGTTTTAAGAGTATTGGGTCTAGTTTACCAGGTAAATCATCTTCTATTATAACATAACCAAAGCAAATACTTCTATGCTTCAAGGGTGCRGCACATACTTTCATATTTCCATCATGACAGATGTCCCATAATCCATCAGGACCTTCTATAATAGTTTTACCCTGTATCTCGTCAGGATGTAAGAATTCATTGCTGGGAAATACTTGATGAGGTAACTCTCCTCCTAAGCTRCTTTTCAAAGATTCTGTAAAGTAATAAAATTTCTGATAAATTTTAAAAACAAGACCAAATCAGGAATTATAAATATTTTGATTGAGATATCATCATCATCATCATCAGGTCGAGCTTGCTTGGCTTTCCATGACCCTTTCTGACCAACTATCCCTAATCGCTCATAGCGGTTAGCCAGTTTGTCAGCCCTATAAATAGGGTAATAATTTACCTGTTAGTTCTAATTCATGTACRACATACTGGTATCCAAGTCTAGATTGTGATATTTGAAGGCTTGTTCGCACAAACTTACGAAGTCCCAGTGGACCATATATTTCAACGATTCTGTTATCAGAACTGTTGTTAAGTCCCAAGGTACACAGGAAGCCCGGTAGCCCAAACATATGATCGCCATGAAGATGGGTAATAAAGATCTTGTTAATACGACTTGGTTTAATAGCACTTTTCATCAGCTTTGTTTGAGTTCCTTCACCACAATCAAACATCCATGAACCTGTAGAATGCCGAAGTACAGTACAACTGGCACCCCTGTSGGGGGAGGGGTAAGCTGAACCAGTACCAAGAAAATGTAGCTCCATCATTGTGACCTTGTTTGGTGATTTATTTTKAACTCTTTCTGAAGTGAATAATATTGCAGTTTTTTCTAGAATTAGCGGTAAAAATACTCTAAATTCGTAAAAAGTACAAATCGACACAAATCTGCATCAGCTATTTTCCATATATTGGAAAGGACTGGTAATGAATAGATTGCGCATGCTTGTCTGCTAGTAAACAACCCAATGCGCCTGCGGTGTTAGCGGTTAAACTGTTCTACCAAAAAGTTTTTGCTCAAAATTTGGTTATACCTTTTGAAGATTTCATATTATCTTGAGGTGCTACAATGCCTTCTATTGATGGTGAAGAAAGTGCAGAAGAGGATGTGGAAAGAAGTCCAAATGAAGACGAGAATGTCAGTGAAGAAGACGACGACGATGATAGCATGTCGTCTGTATCTGAAGACTCCTCGTCTGACTCCAGTACGTGTTCAACACTAACGAATCATGTTTTTAAATGTTAACTGATGTACTCTGTATCTTTTGTAATGAAGTTGATGAGACTGAGAATGAGAGAAGRAGAGCAGAATGTCTTGATGACATGGCGGATTTAGAAAGACAATTTGTGGAGTTGAAAGAACAGTAAGTTTATGAGTCAAATGCTTTTAAGCTTATATAACTAGATACAATTGTATGAAATGAAAACAGCATTATTTGACATTTTTCTAATGATACAGTACTAGTTAAAAATGATCTGTCCTGTGACCCATATTTGGCTATGTGTGCAATTAGAAAACCTGTAGAAAATGATAACTAGAATGGGTCTATATTGGCCTATCTCATCTATTTTAGTAGTTATTTGTATGGTTGGTGAAACTTCATTGGTTCCCTTTCAGGCTTTATTGTGAAAGATTAAGTCAAGTAGAAAAAAAGCTAGATGAAGTGGCAACAGGTAAATGCCAATTTGCTTCATTAGTTGATTACTTCCTGAATGATAAAATTTGGTGATTTAAAAAGTTACTTATATATTTTGTTTTGTGCTGTTTGAGTAGAGCTAGCCAGCGAGTACAATGGTCCTTTGGCAGAATTAAAGGAGATGTGTCAAATACGTCTTGAAGTGGCTGGTAAGTGCAGAGGGGTTTGACAAGTCATGGGATTTAAAACGTAGTATTTGAATCATCTCAATAAGTGCTTTTCCTTTTACAGATATTCTCAAACAATGCAGGGTAAGTTTTTTTAATCAGCTATTGCTGTGAAAACTAAACTGCAAAATGTAATTGTGAGTTCTTGTGCATGTTGCATTTCTTACTAATATTGAGTTATGTTTAAAATAATTTTATTYCAACTATTCCAGCTTGTTAACGTTGAAAATAAATATGAAGCAGAGGAACAATCAACAGTACAACATTTTGAGGTAAGTTAGATATTTTTCAAGAGTAACCATCTTGTGAAGTGCCCCTTAATAATTCGTATTAATCCTTATATCCATTATGAATGTTGATGTTGTTTTGTAAAGAGTGAAAAGCTAGCACTGATGGAAGGGATGAAAGCTGATCTAGAAGAGAAAATCAGGAAACTAGAAGAAGACAAACACAACATAGACATATCAGCAGGTAATTTACAGAAATGTTTTCTGACAGAATTAGGTATTCAACCAAAAAAAGAAATCCCATCCGGCAATAGTACATTAACAATCAATGTTTAAACCATTCACCCCAATAATCAAAATACCATGATTGAATTAAAATGRTATCAGGAAAATCCTGTCTAGTTGAGTAAAGGATTTTATTTTTGTGTGCATGTCATTAATATGGTTTATCATTTTGTTTTATCTTTTTAATTTTTTTAATTAGATGTATGGCTAGAATCCCAGTCAATATCAAAGAAACATCGACGTGCTGCTGACGGTGTGTTATCATTTGACAAACGCAGAAAACCAGTAACTGTATCAGGTAAAATCATTCACAAAGCATGTTCTGGTGTATAGTTATATAATTTATGATTATATTCAAGTATTTATGAAATATTTGTATTTTTATAGGTCCATACATTGTATATATGTTGAAGGAAATGGATATACTTGAAGACTGGGCTGCCATTAGAAAAGTTAGTAATTATGTAGGATCCATGTAACTTATAAAGCTAAGCATCAGATCAACAACAACAKCACTTGCATGAAAATAAAACAKTATTTACTAATTYAATGATGTTCATTTTTTACTCCAATTCTTGTTAACCACAGGCCAAAGGTGCTCTTGCAAGGAGAAAAGCACAAAGTATGCTATTTTCATTTATTTTACCAACTGTTCAACAATTAAAAAATGATAATTACTGTTTGATATGTTATAGGATCATATCAATCAGAAAAGATTTCATTCAGTGCACGATATGAGGATGGGAAACTGTATTATGAAGGGGAATGGTAAGTTATATCATATGCCAATCATTTCCAGACACTTTCTACACTGTACATACTGTTATAGTGAATTGAAATGAACATGCTTGAAGAATATTTAAAGTTAATCATATTGAAAATGTTTGATCCAATTCTTGAGATCTTTGTTTCTCTATTCAGGTTTCATAAAGGATGTCAAATAAATATTGAAGGAAAAGATGGCACAAATTGCAGGTAAGTTAATTGTTTGACATTGCAATATTATTATTTCATTTTCAATATGTATTTAATTTATCTATTTGCAGTGCAATGATAACTGGCATCAACACAGGAGAGGTAAGACTTGTGATGTGATATTMATTTGTTCCATTATTCTTGAGGATGGGAGGGGAAAGGGAAAACCAAAAGAAATTCAGTAAGATACTGTAACAAAGCGTTTCTAACAAAGAACAATAATGGCAATGTTTGTTGTTTTAGATCCTAGTGCGCCGTAATGATGGGTACAAGACAAACTTATACATTGGACAATTACAAAAAGGAAAATTCAAGATCAAGAAGCCTTGATTGTTTCTTTGTAATAATCCACATTTTGTATCACCATAGAAATTCTGTAAATATTCAATTTAGTACCGAAACATGATATTTGGATATGAACCATGTTCTTATAGACACTTATGTCCAGACTTGTCATGTTTGACATTAGCTTGTCTCGCCAAACAAATAATCTTATGCCAAAATTGAGGTTGCATTTACATATATCCAGGTATTAAGATTATTTACACGCAACCACAGGAAACAATGACTTCATCTGGATATTTGTGAGACATAAAAGTTGAATAAGATGGTTATCTGTGATAGTACACAGTAACATGGTTTAAAAAATATCCAGATGTAAACTCAGCCTGAATGGCATCAAATATATTATCATACAATCACTTAGGAAATTCCAAATTTTTCACAATACAGCCAGTATTTTTTCATGCTGGCATGTTCAACACTATTCATAGACACTTTCTTTCATCCCAGTATCTTTGTTGTGGAAGCCTTCTTGTTATGATAGTTGTAATAATTTGTTGAAGAAAAAMATTAAAAAACGTTTGTTTTTTGAATATTTGAATGGATTATGCCATCACAAAATGYACCCATGATCCCCCAGTCAAGATTCAATCAGTGTGCAATGATAGATACCTGGCAATGATATTGTGCACAAGTTTAAAAGTTSTTTTCACTGATAACACACTGCTACCTTTCAAGTTGCTGCACTAAACTGCRAAGAAGACTGTGATACCTTATGATCATGCAGCTTGCTAATTATTACTTTATAAAAACAAAGGATGTGGTCTATTAGTGTTTGTACTGTGTCCATTGACAATCAACACAGCAGCAGTGTGTGAGTGATTTAAGTACAATCTCTGGTAAAAGTCAAAGCATTTTATTCTAGCTGACAGATGACAAGAGCAGTACAAGTTATTTTTTACAGAAGCTCTGTGCATGATCRTACATGTTTTTCTGTCTTCTATAAATCTTATGGAATGAACTGAAATACAACATCAAATGTCCTTTTCCAAAGCAGTGTTCATAGAAATGCATCACACCAATCCTTTAAACAGTTGTAACAATCACCGCTTTGTTTCTTGTTSGCCTTTACAGCATCATTAATCCAATCTCTGAACATTTCTTCGTCTTTCTTCAGAAGCAAGAACTGCCCAAGTACAACATAAGCTTTGTCGAAACCCTTTTCTTTCAGTCGTTCACCCAGAACTTCACCGATGCCAGCTAGTTCTGTAACTGGTTTTTCGCCCATGGGYTCGCTTACGAAGTTCTTATGTTTTTGGGATGTTGAACTCATTCTACAAGTGTAGTTTGGAAAAGGAKAGGGAAAACATGATGTCACATATTCAAAAAAACATATACAATCTATTATATAAAAGCATTTTGACATTTGAAATCTTTTAAGAAATACAAATATTTACCTGTTTACTTGAATCTAGTGTACAAAGTGACAAAATTGCTCGAAATTGTTGCAGAATTCTTACTTCCTTCGACTTCCTTTCGACAAGATTCAATCGCCCAGTCTCCGATATCGAAAGYAAGCCTTATTTGGCTAGTCTAACCATATTAGGTAATGAATATTGGCGCGAAAAATAATATTTTTTCGCACAGCATGCTGGTTCAATGAAGGAAGTGAATGTTCCAAAAACAGTTAAAATTTTAGTGTTTTGGTCGTGTTTTGTGCTTTGGATTTGACTTTTTAAAACTCRTATTCTTTAAGATACAACAGAACAAGTCCTTGTAAACAATTTTAGCAAACATAACAAACAATGAGCTCAAAAAGAAAAGCTACAGCGCAAGCAAAAGAAAGCTCTACCAAGAGACCGAAATCTGCAGCTCSCAAGAAACCACGTCGACCAAAAGGGATGATAGAAGTCCCTGAAGGAACTRTTTTAACCGATCTAACCAAGAAGCAGTGGAAATTAGGGAAGTTGATTGGTTGGGGTGGATTTGGAGCGCTGTATTTGGGTAAGGATTTGTAATACTGTAGATACTTTAAGTCTAATTGATTTTTGACAGTGCGTTTACTGTTTCAGCAAGTTCAGATTCTGGGAGATCAGTAGGCGAAGATGCAGAATATGTTATAAAAATTGTAAGTTTGTGAAACCACATCTCAAGACTGCACCTTTCCCCTCCCAGTGATTCAGGGGGGAGGGGTGGAGGGGGATGCATTGTCTTTTTCTAATGATCTTGTTCATTACAGGAACCACATTCAAATGGACCTCTATTTACTGAGCTGGCCTTCTACCAGAGAGTTGCAAAGCCAGAAAACCGTATGTTAGCCATATCTTTAGCTTATCTAGGGTTTGTAGTTTAATYGTAGTATTATTGACTACGGAGAGCTGAAATGATTGTTTCATGAGGTTTTTTTTGTAGCTAAAGCTGAATTGATCATGTTGCCTTAGCATGCTTCATCTTGTTATAGTTCAAAGCTGGATGAAATCCCACAAACTCAAACATCTTGGTGTTCCTATGTATCTTGGTTCTGGTTTAATAGAACAAGATGGAAATAAGCTWAGATTCATGGTCATGGAGAGGTTTGGTGATGACGTAGACCAAATATTTTTACAGCATGGCCGTMGTTTTGACATAAGGACAGTCTTAACTCTTGGAATAAGAATTGTAAGTCAAAGCACATTTTCTGAAAAACTTTACTATTATTTATCAACAAAACCCAAATATATATAGATTTTTGTTTTGTCTGACAATAGTCATCAGACACTAAATGGCTAGTCTCCTCTTAGCTTCTACCAGTCTCGTAACGATAGTTTCTACTCTTAATCCATTTTTGGAACTTAACCCTCTTAGTACCTCTCTACCAAGGAAATTTGAGTAGGCAGCAATGAAAGATGATGAAAGGGGATTGATCTGGGTATTAAACTTTAGTCTGTTGGCCATAATTACCATTTGTAACCATAATGTCTTACCAATGCAGGTYGATATCCTAGAATATATCCATGCTAATGAGTATGCACATGCTGACATAAAAGGTTCTAATTTAATGATGGGTTACACTAAGGCTAAGAAAGATCAGGTAGGTTAATAATTAGGATGGGTTCAATGTTTCTTGGAATGACATGTGACCTATAGCAAACTATTCCCTGAAGAAACACAGTAAAGTGTCCACAGTACAGAGTGTCTATGATAGAGAAGAAATCCTTTTACAAACAATGATGACAGTTATATTACCAGGMCCTAGGAATCCATCTGTAGTAATGTTAATATTTTTAATAGGTACATACACTATATATACTACACTATGTACATATACTGATGTTATAATTGTTTTTATAGGTATATTTATTAGACTTTGGGCTGACATTCAGATTCAACCCTAATGGACAACACAAGGAATACAAAGAAGACCCCAAAAGACGTCATGATGGAACGGTGGAATTCACCAGTAGAGATGCCCACAAGGGAGTGGGTAAGATGTAACTATTGCCATTATATAGAGAATCAAAGACATGTTTATAGTAATAGTAACGCCATTGGCAATGCAACAAGGGAATGCTATTGGTGAGGGTTACCTCAAACGATTATTAAACTTCACCCCTTGCCTATACCTTGACTTCATCTTTTTTTAAAGAATTGTTTTTATTCTTACACTTGTCTCTTGATTAACATGCTTTAGCTCCTTCAAGAAGATCTGACCTTGAGATTCTCGGCTATGTCATGTTACAGTGGTTAAGTGGTCGACTTCCATGGGAAGACAAACTCGGTGACAAAGAATACGTAAAAAATCAGAAAATAAAGTGAGTTTCATGAAAAGTGAAAGGAATTAAAATATCAAATTATAACACAGTCTTTATTGTATTCAGGTTCATGGATAATATTCCAAAACTTATCAAGGAATGTCTACCAGATGGTGATAGTGCAGGTGATGTTTCTATTTTAACTTTCATTCATTTATCCATTCTCTCATCCTTTCATTTACCAATCATTTCATCATTCAAACAYGGAGCAATCAGTATTCATCATTTATGTTGAAATGATAGAATTTTACTTGACAAGTACATGTTATCTGACAGAAATTCAGCAGATGTTGGAATACATAAACACACTTGATTATRACAGTGTGCCTGACTACAACAAGCTTCGCCAAATTTTTCTCAGTGGACTGAAAAAGAGAAAGGCAAATGATGATGGAAAGAGTGTCATCTTTATTTCATCATCTACAAATGGTACTCATGAACAGAGAGAGGCTTCTAGTAAAAAGGTACCTACTGCCCTTCACCATTTAGTATTTCTGTCCATGAGGAAAAGAGGAAAGCAGTTGTCCCTTATATGCAATGTGACCTTTTGCACTCTGGAGCCATACCACAGTAGGCAAAAGCATGGTCCACACCTATTTTGTGGTCAGYAACTAAAGTGAATTGTTATACCTATGTGACTTGTAGAAATCCCCTGTAAAGAGRAAACCTGCTGTAAAAGTAGATGAGATTTCTGATGAAGAAGAACCAAAGAAAACAACAAGAAAAGTAAGAGCTCCTTCAAAGGTRCAGAAAAAGGCTGTARTGGAGGTATCTGACAGATCAGATAGYSAAGAAGAACYCYCAGTAAAAAAGAGTCGTTCAAGAGGAACATCAAAGAAGACTGCTGCTAAACAAGATGTTCCYGAGGAAGAACGGCCTGCAAAATCTGGTARAAGAGCATCATCCAAGCAAACAGTTGTTACMTCACCTCGTAAAGTAACACATGCACCAGCTGCTGTTAATGTTGTTAGATCAAATAAACAACAAACAGCAGCAAGAAAACCACGAGGTACAAGACAAAAAAAGCCTGTGCTGGTAGATATGGCTACATCGCCAATTGTGTTTAAAGACTGATTTTTAGATTATTTACTACCTTGAGTTTGTTAAGTATTCTACAATGTAAAAGGGAAAAAAAAATATTGCATAATAACATAAAGAAAATCGGTGAGGCAAGAATGCTTGTGAAAGAGGTACTTTTTACACAGATTAAGTTAACTTCCTCATTATTTCTCCTTTTGTTTTTGATTCCTGTTTTTGCAATATTTATCATGACCAGAGGAACATAGGTTAGAAACTGAATCACACCACAGGAATCCCAAGCAATGTTAAGAATGAACAAGAGAGAGACTTAATGCCAGTTTGTTATCTGACAGTAGTTAGTCCAATAGTTCTTGTACATACATTTCTAGATGTCAYTTGCACTCCTGGCTGTTGCTGGTCTTTACCACAATGAAGTGTGTGCACTATAGGCTATAGCCAAAGATTGCTTACAGTATAAAATTGAGTTAACTATTATAATTTATTGAGTGCAAATGTTCACTTTGTATATTTTGTAAAGAAATAAATAATGTTGATTTTATTCATCTTTTTTTTACAGAAATGAGAGTTATTTATATAAATAATTTTACATGTCCAGGGTATATCCTGTATTTTCTACATATAGATCTTACTATCAATTCTTGTATTTATTATTGTTTTGCTTTATGTACTACACCTTCAATAAGTATAGGGTTGAGCTTGTGATAGTCAAAAGATGTAGATCTTGAAATACGGACCTATTTGGAACAAAATATTGGTCGTTGTTAGGGTAAACAATGCCCTCAGTCATACACAGTATTGTTGATGGATGAATACCTTCGGTTTTTGGTGATCTGTTGACATGTAACCTACACACAGGCTTGAGGCATTATGTCCCCAGACAAATTCTATCTCATGATCTGCAACCAATAAACAGAATGAGATAATTATGCTAGTTTTTAAATGTGTAACTAAAAGAAGAGCTCACCCTTTATGCCTGAAGCCCTCAAAAGAACAACTCCTGCTAGCTTYTGCCTTTCATCATTTGATAAAAGGGATGAATCTGAACAAATAACAATATAATAAAACTTGYAATTGACTATTATGAAATTGTAACYACAATACTTTTGCTTACCAAGAAACCTCTCCTGCAAGGCATCATTAACTGCATTTGTTCCATCCCTATTCAGAAAAAAAAGTTTTTAATAGATTTATTTACAATGAGTATGAATGGCTAAAGATCTAACCTACTAAAAGCTAACTCRGCACATTCTTTTGCAAGCATTGTCTTGATCAAGTACTCTCCACAACCTGCAAAAGTGTTGGTTATGATACAATTATCATTAAAAGTTAGAGTGCACTAGCTAAAGAGCATAATTTTGAATATTTGTTGCACAATTTTACCTGTTGTACAGCATGCCACGCTTGTCTCCTYACTGTTCTTAGCCCAACAACCACTACCAAATACTGCTGCCTGTATGATGTTACAATCAATATTAAAGTAAGCCATTATCAATTTTTCATAGCAAATTCAGTTAATGCTGCTGTTGACAAAGTCCAATGCTGCAAACTCCGGTGTATCTATTATTTCGATTTGCAACTTTGTAAGCAGTGGACATTGTGTTCCAAGTAGAGCTTTYGATGTTGCTTCAAAGCTTTTATTGTATCATCTCCACTGCACAMGTGGTCCCTAGCTAAATAAAGGTTAAGTAAAATTACCTGTCCTACTCGGCCTGGAGTTTTTAATAACATTCCACCACTTGACGCCCCAGCACTAACATTACCATTTATGTCCATACATACTACACCAACAGTATCCATGCATCCATCTTCCTATAAAACAACAATATTATACCATTAATTTGATTAATAAAATAAATAATATGGCAAAATGGTTGCCCATCGAATATTTAAAACTTACATAAGAACACAGGTCTTCAAGCCTRCGCTTCTTTTTGGGAGTATCTTCACCTTCAGATATGGCTTCATCATAGAGTTTTGCCCTGTTTTTATTGAAAGCTGAACGACTTTTATCTGAAAAAGTGTACATACGACTGAATTATGTAAAGTTAAAGTTAGAGCTTTATTCCCTTAATGGCAACAGATCTTCCCATTTGCATATTCATGGTGCATCCCCCCCCTGTCCCTTGTCATAAGTGAATGGGATTCCTGTGCCTACTTACATTGTAACTGTTACCCTGCGCTACCATTCATAATAGATGGTTTATGTTTTGAGAGTAACTAAGAATGTTTATAATCTACTTACCAGTGATGAGTGATGTGTTTGGGACTATGTCAAYAGAGTGGYGTTTGGCCCAATCTGTAGCACCTTCACCTACAAGAAATCTTTTGCAAGAAATTAAGAATAAAGATTACAACAATGCAGAGTAAAATGATACTAGTCCAGAAGGTTTTATTTCTGAAAAAAAAACTCATATTATATTGACATGCTGGAATTTAAGATACTGAAGAGCATATTTTCACGCATAGAATATGGGATCCCTGTGTAATATAGTTCCAGGGGTCCCATCTCTTAGAAATATTAATAAATGTCCTTACACTGGTGGTACCAGGCCTGCTTGTGATGGTCCTTGACATTCTTCAATTAGTAATTGATAAGCAACTTGACTGGGGTTTCTAACACCTAACAGATTAATTATTAGCATGCTAATTGTTCTTGTGTTCAGAGAAAAGCATAATAATGTCAGGATTTGCACTTTTATTTATTAACCTTTCACAGCACCGATAGCACCAAAACCCAATGAMTTGCCATCCATTATACTTGCATCACATTCTACATCACCATTCATGTTCAGATTACTGCCAAGACCTGCATTGGTACATGGTGWTTCCTAAAAATGATATGGTTAGAAATAAACCAGTAACARATTATCAGATARATAAAAATACCTCCAGTACTCCCAAAGCAAKTGCAACAGCTTCAACTGCTGATTTGCCATCTTTTAAAACATCTACTGCCTAAAATAATGATAAAATGAGACTAAATAAATCTATATATTTGAGTAATATGGTCATGTCTGTCCAGGAATTGCTCAATACCTTCAAACAGGCATCTCTGCAAGCATCTTTATATTCATCCTCATTTGCAGCAGAATAAGACCCCACTCCTACCAAGAAAGAGAAAATATAGACTTCATAAGACCTTAATGTAGGTCCTCTCCATGGCTGAGAGTCATTGTAAGAGAGATGTCAGATGGGACAAATGGGAAACTTCAGAATGGTGCATATCATATGTATGCAAATGAAGCATGCAAATGAAGAGCGCATGTAAATAATACGAGGGAATTAAGTAACTTGCAAGCCCTTACCCACATGAACTCCTACAAATCCATAGGAGCCGGTTGTAGTCGCCATAGCTACAACATACCGTAGCTGCACTAAGGTCAGCGGACTGTAATTAACACAGGAAGCCCGTGGAAAAAATTCAACATGGCGGACGAAGGGATCAGTGTTGGGATTCTAACTAGTACGTTGTATATTTTTTGTGTAATCATGTTGATTATTGCTTATCGTTATTTACGTATCATTTAGTAAGTGATAGATGCTTTGAAGGCAAAGCACAAGACAGGAGCGGCCCAAACTTGACGAGATTGGTCCTCGAAAGCTCCAGGTGAGCTAGCGTGAACGTTTCTCTAGAGACGTTGCAGGCCTCCGCATTCCAATTTAAATTGAATCACTATTTAATGCATATACCCATGCTAAAAACAACAAATTATTTGTGGATTCTTATAGTTTGAAAGTCAAGAATGTTGAGCATGATTGCGTCCCAGATGAATTAACAGATATAAAGGTATTAATTATTTCAGTTTTGAATCATAATTATTAATATTATTGCAGGGGTAGGATATTATTCAGGAAGGTTTTCAGGTCACAATGGTCTCAATGGAGGCACAAAATGGGATAAGTGAATGTACAAGGRTATTACTCTGTTTTAATAATTTTCATGCTTGCGTAGAATGTTTTATGCAAATGGAGTGATGTTGATAAGTTGAATCTTGTACTCACTACTGGAGGTACTGGCTTCTCACCTCGTGACATAACACCTGAGGTAGGTAGTGTCCTAAAGTGCCTTTGTGTTTTTTCCTGTATCAAAAGCAAGATTGCTCTTTTGCTCTATAGGCAACACAACAGGTTTTGGACAGACTGGCTCCAGGATTGTCACACCACATGACAGCAGAATCCTTGAAAGTCACTCCCCTAGCAGTGTTATCAAGGTTTGTTTGATGATCATTGGGTTACCTTTAGAGTAAGACAAATGAATGATCCTTTTGGTACAAGGTGACGTTGTCCCAGTTCTTTGGGTTACCTGTGGTGTAAGAATAGGTTGACCATTTTGGGTTACCTGTCCTGTRGCATACTTTATGTTAAATATATCTTTGAAGTTAAATATAAATTCATATTTTAAGGTCTGTATGTGGAATGAGAAAGAAAACTTTGATTATTAATCTACCAGGAAGCATGAAAGGTTCTCAGGTAAAGGATGCAATATTTCACAGTAAAAATGTCTATTTACTTTTATCAGTACAGCATATCATTGCATTTTAAGAAATTATAATTACTGTTATTATTATTGTGTACTTAMATTTAGTGTTTTTATTATTTAGGAATGTTTTCAGTTCATACTTCCAGTGCTTCCCCATGCTTTAGGTAAGAAAATCATTCTTGTAATGGTCAGCCAGGCTTTTTCTCTGCTTCTCTCTAAATATCAATTTTTTACCAGATATTCTGAATGATTCACCAAAAGCTAGTGTTACCCATCAGGTCATGCAAGCACAAAATAATGCTAAGGTAATAGATCATATTAAGTTAATAATTGTGTTAAAATATCTAAGTAGCTTGTCTGTGCTRGCATGAGCATTGATGATTATGTTTCTGAATTTAGCCATCCAACCAAAATCAGACAGAGCATACTTGTCCTCACAAGTTCACCAAAGGTACGCTTGCTCATATATTTTTAGTAAATATATTACCAGCTGGAAATATACTAATTATTGTCCTACAATATTRTCAGATTTAAGTAAAGTTGCTGAGAGAGATCGACATTCACCATACCCACTAGTTCCTATGGAAAAAGCAGTTGACATTGTAATGGAGCAAGCTACCATCCTGGGTACTCATCAGATGGTTATCAAAGGTATATTATAAAGTGACATTATCCTCCATTATCTGTGCTGTTTACTAGTATTGGGATTRATAGAAAAAAGGAAATKAATKAAMAAATYGAAGAATGCATGASCAAWTTCATTTTTGAATGAATAAACAAACAATGTTATGGACGTTCTTRAGGATCAYCTGGCAACAGCTTGGATGACAAAAGACATTGGAGAGATTGTGCCATTGAAATCCAACCRAGGTCGATCCRATGATTATGATGATGTTATRGACATGRCTGAAGACACAATATAATCTTGTTTTAATGATAGTAATTTTTGTTTATTTTGTTGTGTGGAAAGTTATCCCTTAAATGGTTTTATTATTTTTCCCCAAGATGCTACAGGATGCATTCTTGCTGAAGATGTTTACTCTGCAGCACCATTTCCTCCTTTCCCAGCATCAATTAAAGATGGTTATGCTGTATTAGGTACATTMTATGTGGTCTTGCATTCTTTATCATAGTTTATAACATCATAACAGTTATTTTTCRTTGTAGCATCTGATGGCGAAGGTGTTCGACAAGTCATTGGTCCAGTTACTGCAGGTGAAATGGTATGTCAAACTGGMCAAAAGTARTTTTCATCTTTCTGTCTGCATGCAGACTTGTTGTAAAGTCATTTGCMRCCTACAAACAAAGTTACATAAAACAGAAGAAAGATTTTTGAACTTCAGAGTCCTTAGCATTTTATATTTCAGRTGATAATACATGAGGAAAGTAATGAAGTTATCATAATTATAATGAAAATGCTTGTGTTCTCAATCAGACTTCCTCAGAAGTTACAACTGGCTGCATCATGAGGATAACAACAGGAGCTCCTCTGCCTCCAGGTGCCGATGCAGTGGTACAAGTTGAAGACACTGAACTTATTGAGAGTGCAGATGAGGTGGGAAGCTGAATTATGGTATTAAATATGACCAGAACCAGAACATTTTCTGGACATTTGGGATGTTTGGAAAACAGAGATTAAAATATTTAATAATAATAATGATGTCACAAGTACTTTCTTTTGAAGGGGAGGACAGAAGTCAAAGTGAAAATTTTAAAAAKTCCAAAACCAGGTCTTGACATCAGGTAATAATACCATGCTTGTATTACAATATATACTTTTCACTTGACATGTACACACGAAAAATCCAAGGATTATATTCTAATATTATAGGCCCATTGGTTTCGACATTGGTGAAGGGGAGAAAGTACTTAATAAAGGTGATATTCTTGGTCCTGCAGAACTTGGTTTGTTAGCAACTGTTGGTGTAAACAAGGTTAGAACAAGTTTACAAGTGATTATAGGGTGTGGTGATGTTGGTTATGCACTTGCTCAACTTTAAATGTGGCATGTAGCCATGGTGACAAGATTTCCTTGTAAAAATAATACTCATTTTTTACTATTAACAGGTGACAGTGTTTAAAAGGCCAAAAGTTGCTATCCTTTCTACTGGTAATGAGGTATCAGAGTATTCATTGTAAGAAAAATAAATTTTAACATGAATTATGATGCATTATGTTGTATCCTGATTAAAGATAGTACAAGCCACAGGAAGCCCAAATGCTGGCCAAATCAGAGACAGCAATAAAGTCACSCTCATGTCAGCTTTGCAGAAGGAAGGCTTTGAAGTTATTGACTTGGGAATTGCATCAGATAAGTGAGTATTTCCTTCTGGTACGATATATWATTRGCTTTCTGTTCTTCTTGATAAATGATTTGAAAAATAACAAATTATTACAATTGAAGCCCAGACTCACTAGGAAGCTGCCTTTCCAATGGCCTATCCAAAGCTGATGTTGTCATCTCATCTGGTGGTGTATCAATGGGAGAAAAGGTACAATGAATATTGATATWTGGTTACAATACAAAAATATCCTAATGTTAATCACTAACCTCCATATGTTAATYGTAGGATCTTCTCAAGCCCGTACTTCAAGATCAACTGCAAGCTACACTGCATTTTGGAAGAGTATTCATGAAACCTGGGTAATCTATAATACAATTTGAAGTATATTTCTTCAATAGTTAGTTTGTCATTCATTGATTGGTCTTGATTTTTGTCATAGAAAACCAACAACATTTGCTACAGCAATGTGTAATRCAGAGAAGAAAYTTATYTTTGCACTTCCAGGTTAGTGATGATTTATTGACTGATTTGAGAGATTGATATTAATAGTAGTATTGTACTGGCACAGGTAACCCAGTTTCAGCCTTGGTAACATTCTACTTGTTTGTTTTACCGGCTCTGCATAAAATGGCAGGCAATCCCTTCCCTGGTCTCACTCGCATCAAGGTCAAGGTTAGTGTAATTTTCAGTTCTTAGATTCTGAATTCAGRTCAATCACCAGATGAATGGCTTGCACAAGAAGTAAATAATAAATAAATGGAAGAAAATTGAAAAAATCATGAATGTTTTTATAAAATCATGATTGCTTATAAATTCCTGTTTTATTTTAACAAAGCTTCAAAAAGACATCAAACTTGATCCAAGACCAGAATATCAAAGAGCCAAGTTGTCATGGCTAGCRGATGACAACATCCCTGTTGCCATATCAACAGGAAGTCAGTGTAGCAGCCGTCTACTAAGCATGCGTACTGCTAATGTCCTTTTAGAGCTACCAGCAAGGTCAGATAGTTTAACACATCTAAAGAAAAACACTGTTGTTACGGGTTTGGTAATTGGTGCAATTTGAGTYGTTCAAAATRTCATCTTTGCAGAGAGATTTTTAARTCAAATTGAGCTTGATCCATTCTTTGTCAMTCATCTCCTKCTCATTGCACCATTTTGTTTTGACTCTGACTAATAGCTTGGTAGTACAGCAGTCAATAATTTAGAACAATTAACAAATGAAAAAATTTACTGATTCATAATATACTGTTGTGAAAACACATTTTGA